GGGAGTTTGCAGAAGGGCAAGGAGGGTTCATTAGACATTGCTGCGGCATGGACGAAATATCCCAGGAGACTATCTGATTACCTTTGCTCAGATGCTGTGCACATCAAAGAACCTTCTGATGACTAATTCAGTCCTCAGGGTCCTTGATGTAGACGTAGGGGTGTGCACTGAGTAAGAGTCCCAAGGTCACCAGGGTTTCTGTTTCCTGGAACAATATAGGAGAAAAGTATGGTTCTTGATGCCTGGGGACCAAATTGTTCCCCACCAGTTACTGGAGCCATGGCCTGAACAAAAGCACTTAAAACTCACTAGGAGCCTCAGCTTCTGCTCCCTTTAAACATGACTACTATCAATGGGCATCCCTAGAACAGTGGTGAAAATAGCACGAGATAGAAGAGGCAAAAGAGCTTTGGAAACTACAAGAGTATGGATGGGTGAGTACAAAATGTCATTGCTCAACACTGTTTCTTTTGCTCAGTATACTCCAGGGATTCAGGCCTTCTTATAACTACTAGGGTGCACCAGAGTCTTTCCCAGGCTCTCCCTCATGCTGATTCTCCACTTGGGATGTCCCACTCCTATTCATCTGCTCTTCACCTGGGGAACTCTTAGTCTAAGAATTCTCAACTCAAGTAGTTCTCCAGAAATACTTTGTTGCCAACCCAATTTAGATCTTATCTTTATTACTGCCCAGTTCTTTTTCTTCATTACACTTTAATCATATATTTATTTGTGTGCCTCCCTCCCTCCCTCCCTCCCTCCCTCCCTTCCTTGCTTCCTTCTTGACAGAATCTAGCCTCTGTCGCCCAGGCTGGAATGTAGTGGCGCCATCTCAGCTCACTGCAACTTCCACCTCCTGGGTTCAAGCGATTCTCCTGCCTCAGCCTCCTGAGTAGCTGGGATTACAGGCACCCACCACCATGCCCAGCTAATTTTTGTATTTTCAGTAGACAGACAGGGTTTCACCACGTTGGCCAGGCTGGTCTCGAACCACTGACCTCAAGTAATAAGGCCACCTCAGCGTCCCAAAATGCTGGAATTACAGGTGTGAGCCACCATGCCTGGCCTTGTGTGTTTATTTACTGTTTCTTTTAGCTAGATGAGAAACTCCGTGAGGGAAGGCATCCTGTTGCTTTCATTCTTCTGTGTTCCTGGTTTCTGGCACAAAATAGGATTTCAATATTACTTGTAGTAGAAAATGAGTGCTATGGGAATGTAAAATGTTATTATCAGTTCCCCAACAGAATTTGTTTATATATCAAGGAGTTTATAAAGTTTGGGTCAACCAGCCTCATTGAGCTTAAATCAATTCTAGGTGACCAGATAAAGTCAAGTTTGGTCTTGCAGCAGTGAGGACCAACTCTGTGCCGTAAACCTGGAAGGCCTGGCCTACACGGTTGCAGGTCTGTTTCATTCACATCTGTTTATTTGAGCTTCCTGACTCTGAACAGGTGGGCTCTAGACCATTTTGTAAGATGATTTTCTTTCAGGTATCAAATGGACCCAATGGAGAGGAAAACGTAAGCATGAAACAAGTAGCATAAGAGGAAAGTAAATCTCCTGGTATCCCTCTTTAGGCCTAACTCGTCAGAAAGTTGCATAAGAAGAAAGGTGGCACGATGTAGCCTGGACCAAACCATCTTCTTCCCATTTCTTCCCCAACTCTAAGACTACTTTAAATACCACAGGCATTCTAAATAAAAGTAAAAACCTATCTTTGGTATTTCATCCCTTACCTAGCCTCTTCTTCATCCTCTAAACTGTTGCCAGCATGAATCTTTCTCAACTTGAGGGTATTATGTCCCCACTCTGTTTCAAATTCACCTACTTTCTCCATCACCTATAGGATAACATGGAATGGATATTAATTCTCAACCCAAGCCTTCAACTTCCCTGCTTCTTCTCCCTTCAGTTTTCTTCTCGCACCTTTGTTCCAAGCTTCTCTAAGCAGCTTTCAGGTCCCTAAACACAAGATGTTTTCTCATACTTCTCTGCCTTTGCATGCAAGTTTCTTCCCAATCTTTTCTGCCTGGTAAGGCCCACTGGATCAGCTCAAATGTCACCTCTCCCATAAAGCATTTTCTAATAATGCCTCCTTCTGCTCCCATCTGGCACCTTTTTCTTATAGCATATATCTTGTGCAATTAGAATAGTTTCTATTTCATCTCCACATTCCCCTCTACCAGAATGTGAGTTCCCTGAGAAGCGATTATATTTTGCTCATCATTGAATCCCCACAGCCAAGCACAGGGTCCCAGAGAGACCCAGGACCAGAGGAATGCCCTGCTTTGTGATGTCCAAAAGTCCAAAACCAAACAACTCAAGTTAGGTTCTAGAGTTCGGAAAGAATAGTTTTACCTTCTGGGGCCATCCCAGCTTATAACCCTCTTCCTCTCTTCTTTGAGATCCTACTTGACCACCATAGAGGTAGGTGGAGGAGGCAAGGGGCAATCAAACTAGAAGTCATGGTCTCTTTCCTTGGTTCAACCAATGCACTTCTCTAGTAATGAAATGACATGGAGGAATAGATGGATTAGCATGATTCCTGTCTCAGCAAGCAAACATTGGGTACTAATTTCTGGACCCCTGAAATATGTCTAACTTTACTAACAGAAAGTCCCCTCTGTCATTACCAATAAAGCTGGTTGTTTTTAATGAAGACACATCTGGAACTGTTTTTGTGCCTGCCCAAGGACACAATTACTATCCTCCTTCATTTCTACCTTTAAAACTAATGTTTCAGGCAGACCCATTTAATGTAAGCAGATGCCCACTTGTATTAGTGGAGGCAGGAAGGGACACTGTGTGTGGCTGGATGTATGAATGTGTTAACAGTTTAATTCTTTTAAGAACACTCACTAAGAACTAGGCTTTAGAACTTGAGGGTTGGCCAGGTTTGACTTTGAGGAGGCGAAGGTTGATCCATCGCGAGTTGTGCACCTGGAAATGAATGAAGTATATTTACGAGAAGAAACTGAGACTTGGAATTATGTTGGAGGAGGGTTTGAGCTCACTTGTTCTTTCAGTCATCAAACGTTTATTTCAGGAACATCTACTATATGCTAGGCGCTGCATTAGAAGTTTGGGAGTCCATTGATGAAGAGGATAGGGTTCTGACCGGGAGACACAGAGGTTCATAACACATTTTGGTAAGTGCTATCATAGGATTTTTCATGAAATGTTATCATGCTCACTAGGGAATTATTAATTCCCTTTGAAGATGGAGTTACCAACAGAAGCTTTACAGAGAAGGTGTCACTTACGCCAAAACTTGAAGAATGGGTAGGATTTATCAGTTGAACTAGAAGGAAAGGTATTCCAGGCAAATACATGCAAGCAGAAACATGAAGGGGTGAAAAAGCAAGGGATTTAGATTCATACAAAGATATGTTTCTGATAGTGGGCATGTAAGCTGGTCAGTTCGTGGTTTATCAACTTTTTTTTTTTTTTTTTTTTTGAGTCATGGAACTCTGGGAGGGTCAAATAAAAGCAATAATCTCTCTCCTCAGAAGAGTGTGTACAGACACACACACACAACTTTCTGGGCATTTTCATTGAGTTCATGAACCCTCTGTCTTGATAGACACAGAGGGTTATGTCCCTGATTGAATTATTTTATATATGTAACATATATGTGTAAAACAAATTAAGAGGATTAATGACTATGTGTCACTAGCTTCATCTGCTCCAACTATTAGTGTTACCTAAAGATTAACTCATTGAAGGCCCATAATGAAGTTAACCATTAAGTGTTTATAAGCAGTTAATCTTTTGTCTCCAAAATTTACCAGAGATCATGGTTAATTTCCTCTACTACAATTATTTATTTTCGCCCCTTTTGGTTAGAATGGTTAGAATTTCAAGACTATACATTTAGAATGTTAATTGAAACAATCAGGCATGGGGATAGGCCTGAGTTTCAGGCTTTTTTTTTTTTTTTTAACACTGAAATCTAAAGCAAACTGGGGAGTGGTGTGGCTTTTCTGTGCTGTACTGTTGTCTGGGCTTAGTCTACCTTTGCAGGTAATTAATTCCCCAGCCTGCTTATTTTTTCTAGTTGGCTCTTGTTTAGCTTCCACAGAGCTCCACCCCAAAGTGCTTTATTGTCCCTCTGCTATTTCTACATATGGTCAAAATCATCTCACCTTCCGGGTTGCTGACATCGGCAAATTCAGTTTGGCAAACCGGGCTCTGCTCCCAGTAACCCTTTGTTCAAGAAGTGTTATTACAAGGGAGAGTATACCCGAAGCTAACAAGCCTGTCCAATCTCTTCCACTCCTAGAGATACTCCTAAGGAGAAACTCTGTGTATTTGGATTTACAGCCACAGGCAGGATATTAGCACTCCCAGACCTATTGGGTACTAGAACATTGCTAATGAGCAAACAGCCCTGCCTCAATTAGTGGTTTGTGAAATATTCCTGGATATCAAATTGCTTTTGCTGCCTGATAATCACACTGGCTCTTGGGATGAAAAGCAACCAAGCAAAAAATTGTTCCCTTGTTGAGCACTGCCTTGTTGATCTCCTAAGTTACATCTGTAGTCAGAATTTAAGTTTCCCATTTCCCTAGAGCTGAGGTTTGATTTATGCATGTAATCATTGAGTTGGTGTTCATGTTTTCTCTTGTGAATCTTTTCCATAGTATTAGATTACTATCTTTTGAGACTGATTCTATAATTACTTAAACAAGGTTGATTATTTGAGAAACAAATTAAGAAATAAACTATAGACAGATCCAAAATGCTAAACTGCTAGTTTCCTTAGACATAGGTATTTATTTGGGGGTAAAGGGTGGTAGTAGAGAGGAGGGAATTAATGAAATTGGGAGACTGTTTCATTCAGATCACAACTTCCAGTTTGACTCTTCCTAAATTCTTTGCTTCTTAATTTTCAAGTCACTTCAGATTGCAGCAATGTTAACCTCAGCAACTAAAAATAAAAGCTTCAGTATATTACTTGGGAAGAAAAAAGTAGTAAAGGGAAGCAATTCAAGATCTGTTATTGGTATTTGAATACATTTATTGTGACAAGAATGCTGTTATAAATATTCATAAGCAAAGGCCATCTTTTAATCTAGGAATTGTCAAAGAGAAGATTCCAAATTGGAAGGATACATCTTTTGTAAAATCTGCCACCAATTCCTGCTTTGAGAATAAGCATCTATTGTTAAATTTCTACTAACATTATAAATGGTCACAGCACATGCCACTTGATACAGTCCCAAACTTTGAAATGTTTGACTTCCCAGTGGGCTGTCCCTCTCCACTGCAACACCCCCCTCCTTCCTCCAGCCTCCTGAAACATCGCACTATCCTTTGGTAAGCAATTCCATATAGATAGCTGGGGGAAGAAGAGTATAACCTGACCATAGAAGCAGGTACATCAGGAACATTTATTTCTAAAGTCTAATAGAGAACAGTTTTTACTGCTTGATAGTAAGAAGCACTGAGAGTGATTTTAATTGACATTCTTAACTCTTTCAACTCCACCTAGATAGCTAGTATCTATAGATGATGCAGAAAAGAGGTTAGGGGAGTACTTTTCAATAGTTTATTGTATTTTCTTAAATATCCTTTCTGGAATTTTCAGAAACAAAACATAAAAAAATTATATACTTTATTACAAATGGTAAACTCAGAGTGCTCCAAATCTCTTATTTACAAACAACACTGGGCAGGACACCCAAACAAACAAACAAGAAATAACTTACAAAGGCATGAAGCTGTTTATTGACAGTAATCAGCTTTCATCAAATTAAAAAATATATATATGTACATACACAGTTAACGAAGGCAGGCCAGAAAGAGTTCATCTGTAGGCTCAGCCTCGCTCTCACAAACCTCCCTCCTGCCGCCCCTCCCCAGCCCTCCCCCCCCGCTTTGTGTTCTTAATGAGTACTACAGAAGCAATCTACAGTCTCTATTGCAGTTTGTAACCCCCTCCCCCTCCCCCCTTTAATACTGAATGAGATCGAATGTTAGGTCCATGCAGTTCTTGGTCAATGTTAACGAAAAGTCCAACGTTCCGTCCGCGCGGGGACAGCCCGTCCGCAAAGCGGGGCAGCCCGCAGGCGGCCGCTCCCTGGCTCCACGCCAAGGGAGGGCGCGCCAAGTCCTTCCCACTCGTGCACACTGGGGGCGCCGTCAGGACGCAACCCAGTCCAACTTGGATACCCTTGGCTTTAGTTCTCGGACACTTCTTTTTTCTCTCCGTCGCAACTTGTCAAGTTCTCAAGTCTGTCTCTCTGTGTTATTTTTTTTCTCCGTTGCCCCTCAGCCCCCAACAGTCTCTCTTCAAAATGTTTGCAACTGCTGCGTTAGCATGAGTTGGCACCCACTGTTAACGTGGTTCATGACTTTCTGTTTAAGCTGTGCCACCTGTTCCCTGAGCATGTTGGCCGTGGACGCCAGCTCCGAGTTCTGAGCTTTCAAGGTTTTCACTTTTTCCTCCAGCCGGGCGATTCTCTCCAGCTTCCTTTTTCGGCACTTGGAGGCAGCAATGCGGTTCCTCATACGCTTCCTCTCCGCCTTGATCCGCTCCTGGGACTCCATGTCAATGGGGGACAGGGGCGGCGTCTCGCCAGGCATCTCGGGCACTGTCTGAGGCTCCTCCTTCAGGGCTTGCAGCCGCGGGTGCTGCACGGGCATCTGCTGGGGCAGGTGGTGCGGCGGCTGCGGCGGCGGCTGCTGCTGCTGGGGTTGCGCGGGAAAGGCCAGGCCGGCCGCGCCGTAGGAGGGCGCCCCGCCGCCGCTGCTCAGCGCGCCTGGGTTGAAGTTGCTGAGGTTGGCGTAGACGGGCGGCTCGCTGTGCAGGCTGGCGCTGAAGCCTCCGCTGCCGCTGCCCCCTGCCACCGAGGCTACCGCTGGAGCTACCATGCCCGCCCCGCTGACCGGCTGCGCCGCTGACGTGACGCTGGGCAGCGTGTTCTGGCTGTGCAGTTCGGCCAGGGCGCGCACGAAGCCCTCGGCGAAGCCCTCCTGCTCGTCTGTCACGTTCTTGGGGCACAGGAACTGGGTGGGGGTCGGCGTGGTGGTGATGTGCCCGTTGCTGGACTGGATTATCAGGCGCTCCAGCTCGGGCGACGCCAGCTTGAGCAGCCCCACGTCGGGCGAGGTGAGGAGGTCCGAGTTCTTGGCGCGGAGGTGCGGCTTCAGGCTCCCCACTGGGTCGGCCAGGTTCAGGGTCATGCTCTGTTTCAGGATCTTGGGGTTACTGTAGCCATAAGCTCCGCTCTCGGACGGGAGGAACGAGGCGTTGAGGGCATCATCATAGAAGGTCGTTTCCATCTTTGCAGTCATAGAACAGTCCGTCACTTCACGTGAGGTTAGTTTGGGCTGCGTGCTGAAGTTTCGAGGCCGCAACAGCGCTCTGGCAAGCGGGGGACACCCGTGCCCCCCGGGGCCTTTGGCAGGGAAAGTTTCTCTAAGAGCGCGCGCACCCGCTGGTTGTCGTCCCCGCTGCGCCCTCCTCACCAGCTCGCTCCAGGGAGCGCAGGGTTAATTAAGATGCCTCCCGCACTCTTACTTGTCGACTCGCGCGCGCGCTACCCGGCTTTGAAAAGTCGCGGTCACTCACTGAGCGCTCTTCGGGAGCCGCCGTTCCTTGGAGTCCGCGGGCGAACTCGCTTCCCAGAGCAGCGGCTCTCCCGGCGGCGCGGATCAGTGCCTACCCGCAGAGGCCGACCAGCGGCGGGTCTCGGCCGCCCGGACTCCGACGACTTGTCCCCTCCTCCGCTGCGAGGGGGAGGGGGCGCCCGGCAGCCGCGGCTCGCGCTCGCCCAAGTTCAGCAACCGGTGCGAGCGAAGCTGAGCGCACGTCCTTCTTCTTTTGCGTGGCTGTCCGCCGCCTCCTGGTCTTTACCGCCGCCGAATAGCCTAAGACGCAGGAAAGGCTTGCAAAAGTTCGCTCCGGGACTCTGGGCCAGTTGTCTCCGGTCCTCCGGGCAGAGAAAGTTCTTTGCTGCTGCAGTCGCTCGCCGACTTCCCCCGGCGGGCGCGTGGGTACCGCTGCTCGCCACCGCTGTCAACAGCGCCTGGGCAGCAGGGCTCTCCTCCTGGGGGCGGCTGGAGACCAGGCTCTTTGGGCACTCCTCGTAACACTAGCCCGGGAGCCACAGGCGCTAGCTCTGGGCAGTTGGAGAGAAGGTGGAAAAGAAAATAAGATTTGCAGTTCGGACTATACTGCCGTCCTGGCTGGCTGGCTGTGTCTGTCTGCCTGCCTGAGTCCGCGCACCTCCACTCCCGCCTCGCTGCTTCAGCCACACTCAGTGCAACTCTGAGCCCTTATCCAGCTCGAGCTCAACACTTATCTGCTACCAGTCAACCCCTAAAAATAGCCCATGATGTCACCCCAAGGCCTTCCCATTGGCTCGCGTCGCTCTCAGGGGGGCGGGCCCGCCCGTCACCATGGAGACTCCACCCTAGAAGATTCTTCTCTGGGCCCGCGGAGGCTCACGGGATGAGGTAATGCTCCGCTGCCCTCCTACAGTCGGGCCCTTCTTTCTCCTACCCTCCCCCCTGCCGCACGCCTCTCGGCCCTCTCTTCCCCGGTCCCCTCCCCGGGCCGTTTTTCCCGGCCCGCCCGGTGCATTGTGGGCTGACGTCTTGGGGTTTGACTGTCTAGTGACGGTGGCTGCCGCGAGCGGGCGGACGCTCGCAACCTCTGACGGAGGGGGCTCAAGTTCACGGCTGCGGACTGGGATGCAGGGGATGCGGGGACCCGGGAGGCCAGGGAACCCGGCCAGTTGTTTTGGGTCAAGGGTGCGGGCGAGGGGTGGTTGTGTTTCCCCACTTGTGGGGCTCGAAGTCATCCACTGGCGTCCGCCACCGCGCGGGGCGGGAGGCTGAGAGTCCAGGTCCGCCGCCCCCCCGCACTTCCGGGGGGCGGGAGCACCGCCCTTAAGGTGGCTCTGTGAAGTCCCAGTTGGGGGCGAGCCTAAGGGGGCTTAAGTTTGGGGGCGGTCTCCCGAGAGTCGGCCCCCCACGTTGAGAAACGCTCCGAAGTTTGCATCTCGGTCAAGTTTAGGAGCGATGGTCCGCGGGGTTGTCTGGCTGCTCTTAGAAGCAGAGAGATTTGTATTGCCCAAAACTGGACGCTCAGCTGAGTCTCCGTTGCACCCCACTTCATCCTCCGGGACCGTGGGGGAAAGGGCGCGGGGGATCACAGTTTTGCCTCCGAGGGGCAGTTTTTATAGTGGGCGCAATTAGTGGGTAACAGGGTCCAGATGGGAACAAGCGTGTAGGCGATCCGAAACTCGGGGAACCCCGGTGTTAGTCTACTCCCCTTCCCGCCCCCGGACAACACACACACGCTTAACACAACACGCACAACATGCGCGCTCGCACACACACACACACGCACACACTCTCCACCCGCGCCGAGTTGCTTCCGGGAAAACAAGCTCAGAAGGCGGGGGACACTCGCATAAAGTAACGCAGTAGAACTCAGGAGCCCGGGGTAGAACCTGGACTTCAAATCTCTGCCTTCCCGGCCGGGTGGTGGGCCCATATCCTGAGTAGCCTCTAGGAAGCGCTAGACCCATGTAAGTGGTTCCTTTTCCGCGGTTGTTATTTTATCTTTCCCCCGCCCCCCACCCCTTAGGGACGAAAGTGTGTGGTGGAAAGAATCCCGAAGTCGGGAATCCTGGTTCTTTCGTGGCCAGGCTGCAACAGTGTGAAGCGAGCAAATCACGGAACTCCTCTGAGCTTCATTTCCCTCATCTGCAGGTGGGGCCGGTGCCGTCCACATCAACGGGCTGCCGGGAGTTAGTGTGACAGGGTCGCCTGCAGCACTAGGGAGGTGGTGGCCAAACAGCCCGCTTCCCTCCCCTGCCTCGCGGTTTCCATCCTCGCAGAGCCTGGATAGGATGCCAGGATATAAGAGTGCGATTTGGCAGGACCAGGTGTACTTTCCTGTGAGAAGCTTCGAGGGGAGGAGGAGAGGGGGAACAGGGTTAGAAGTCAGCTCTTTCCCAAGCCTCTGTCTAGAACTGGGGCTTGAAGTTGGACCTGCAGCAGTTTAAGTTCCTAGGTTCTAAATTCAGACTTCACTGTTTCTGAACTTGGAATTCAGCCTAGGGTTCATTGCCCCCAGCCCTAAGGTATTTGCGGCTTTGAGTGTTCAGAAACCAACAGCAGCTGGTATCAGTGGGAAACCTGCCAACTTTTCTTCACTCCGGGCACTCACCTAGCTTTCACTGATCTGCAGAGGGTAACTGAAAGCCTACTGTGAGCCAGGCGCTGAGCTGGGGAGGGGGTGGGGTAGGTTTACAGTGATGACAAGATCCAGTTACTTCCTCGAGGAGAGAACATTCTCCTCTGTCTGTTGCCCTGAATAATTTTCTGTTGTAATCAGGGAGCTGGTGTTCTAAATATTTTTTTATAGCAGTAATAAAAATAAGTTTCATGTATTAAACACTTATCTGCCAGGCATTCTCCTAAGTAATTTAAATATGCTGTTTTCTCCCCACAACCATCTTGAGAGACATATATTATTACCAGATTTAACATGTGAGGAAATAGGCCCAGAGAGGTTAAGTATCTTTGTTTGGGTCACACAGGCACCTGGAAATTGACCTCAGGTCTGTGTTACATTCCTTTGTATTTTCTCTACTCTGGCAAACTTTCTTGTGGAGTATTAGTTATCTGCAGAGGAAATAGCGTTTGTGGCATAAAAGAAATTTTCTTGCCTGATCCTCTGACTATAACTCCTTTCAGAGTTCCTGTATTTAGAAATTTCAAGACTTAGGACTTTGTATAAATATATATCTTTTACCTAAGGGTTCTGTGTGTTCCTCTGTGCCTCATGTGGTTTAGTAGGCTGATCTTCTCCTTATGTTGAGAAATAGCATATTTCATCCAAAAAAAATAACAAATCTGTTCATGTTAACGCCCCTGCTTGGAAGCCTTCATTGGCTTTTCCTTACAACCAGGAGTGTTCCGATTCCTATGCCTGGGAGAAGGGGCTTTTCGCAATCTAACTTCTCTCTCCAGCCTTATCTGTCACTCTCAGTTCTGTCAGGAAAGGCAGTGTTGTGCTCCCGTAACAAACAACCCTAACATATCAGTGGTTTATTCCAGTGAAAGTTTGTCATTTCCGCTACATGACCATTGTAGGTTGGCAGGGTAGCTCTGCTCATTGTAGCCACTCAAGGGCTCAGGCTCAAGGAGGCCTTGTCTTGATACCCCTTTTCAAGGCTATCCTGTCTGTGGGGAAGGAACTCAACATCATGGCTGTCAGAGCATCCACCTGGAAATGGCACACATCACTTCTGCTCATACATCATTGGCCAAAGCAGTTACATGGCCATGCCTAACTTTAGGTCACTGTAATCCTACCAGGTGTCTCAAAGGGATCTCCAGGAATATTTGGGGAATAGCACTAAAGACTCTATCTCCCTTTCTGTTCACCAAATGTTCGGTCTTCTCTCCTTCCCCTGGTGGAATTCCCTCGTTCTTTTTTCAAGGGAGACAACCTTAAAGACCCATGTGGTCACAGCAGCAAGCTGCTCTGTCCATTGTTGTCCATGATTCCTGGATTTGCCTTCGGAGAGTCTTCCTTTTCCACAGCTAAAGCAGGCATTGGAAAATATGCTTTTAAAGAAGCTTTTAAAAGTTGGGGAGATGCAGAGTGACATTAAGTATTGAATATGTGTAGGTAGGCTTCTTATCTATCTGATATAAGGTGTTCCATGTGCCAATAGCCACAAAATTCTTTTCCAGATATACTTCTTTGGTTTGCCATATCTCTTTGTTTTCCTGCTATCCTGCCTGTTGACTCCTCTGTCTCTCTTCTGCTGTCTTACTCTCTTACTCTTCACTTGATTTTGAGCACTTTGGGCTTACTGGGTTTTGGTGGGAGAGTTAGACCTTTCTTCCTTTTCCCAGAGCCATTTTGTCCAGTTGAAAGCATATGCTGGGTAAGATCTTAATTGATCCTGTTTTTTTTTTTTTTCTGAGATGGAATTTTGCTCTTGTTGGTCTGACTGGAGTGCAATGGCACGATCTCGGCTCACTGCAACCTCTACCTCCCGGGTTCAAGCGATTCTCCTGCCTCAGCCTCCTGAGTAGCTGGAATTACAGGCATGCACCACCATGCCTGGCTAATTTTGTATTTTTAGTAGAGACGGAATTTTTCCATGTTGGTCAGGCTTGTCTCGAACTCCCAACCTCAAGTGATCCACCTTCCTCGGCCTCCTATCCTGAGGTTTTAATAGTAGGTTCATACTTTGTGACTTGATCCTTACTTCAAAGCTGAGTTTCTTCCAGGTCCTTTCTTGCTAGAAGTATTTCTTGATTTTATATTTTACTAGTTGGGACTGGGAAACAATTGCCTCTTTTAATGATATAAATCCCTGGATTTATAGATTTTCTCTATTCCATTTCATTCCTAATTGCAAACAGGCCAAATTTTTCTGAGTTCATCTTTGAATAGCTTGTAGTAACTTTCAGAATGCATCCAACAGCCACCAACACACACTACTCACTTTCTGTTTTACAATCCTTTGCTTTAGTTCATCAGGTTCATGATCTGCCTTCTGCATTATCACAGGTGATCTGTTTACCAAACAGATCACCATCCCTTCAGCTTCTGATAGCTGTGTTCTTAGTTATCTCCCTCTAAATGATTGTTTAGTTTTATTGTTGTTATGCTTATTGTTGTTACTACACTAACCCATATCTAGGAGCCAATTTTTATATCAGTCAGGATGGTTTAGGTTATGCTGCCATAACAAACAATCCTAAAATCTCAGTGGCTTAACAGTAAATTTTATATTTTGCTCATACTACATGTTCAAGTTCATGGGGCTCTGCTTAATGTGCTCATTTAGAAACCTAGTCTGAAGAAGGTTTCGTCTTGACACATGCTTCAACAATCATTCCATCACTTTGGTGAACTCATATTGGTTTTAAAAGCTCCCTCCTAGGAATGACACTTTTTTATTGTATTTACATGTTATTGGCTAAAATAAGTCACATGACCATGTCTTACTTAAGGGGTGCAGGAAAGTGCAATCCTACTAGGTACCTGGAAGTCAAAGAGCTGGAAATGCACACTTGCGTATACTCTAGGTTATGCTGTGTTAGCCATCCAAAAGTCTTACTGGGTTACAACCACAGAATTGTTTCTCACTCATATTGCATGTCCACTCATGGTTTGGTTGTGTCACCACTCAAATCTCACCTTGAATTGTAATAATCCCCACATGTCAAGGATGGGGTCAGATTGAATCATGGGGGCAGTTTCCCCCGTACTGTTCTCATGGTAGTGAAT